TAGAGCACCATCTGCTATAAAAACAAGACTAGAGTGCTTTCTGCAGTTAAAAACTAGCCTAGAGCGCCATCTGCTGTTAAAAACAAGCCTATAGAGCACCATCTGCTATAAAAACAAGACTAGAGTGCTTTCTGCAGTTAAAACTAGCCTAGATCGCCATCTGCTGTTAAAAACAAGCCTATAGAGCACCATCTGCTATAAAAACAAGACTAGAGTGCTTTCTGCAGTTAAAAACTAGCCTAGAGTGCCATCTGCTGTTAAAAACAAGCCTATAGAGCACTATCTGCTATAAAAAACAAGACTAGAGTGCTTTCTGCAGTTAAAACTAGCCTAGATCGCCATCTGCTGTTAAAAACAAGCCTATAGAGCACTATCTGCTATAAAAAACAAGACTAGAGCGCTTTCTGCAGTTAAAACTAGCCTAGATCGCCATCTGCTGTTAAAAACAAGCCTATAGAGCACTATCTGCTATAAAAAACAAGACTAGAACGCTTTCTGCAGTTAAAACTAGCCTAGATCGCCATCTGCTGTTTAAACCAACAAGCCTAGAGCACCATCTGCTATAAAAACAAGACTAGAGCGCTTTCTGCAGTAAAAAACTAGCCTAGAGCGCCATCTGCTGTTAAAAACAAGCCTATAGAGCGCTGTCTGCTATAAAAAACAAGACTAGAGCGCTTTCTGCAGTTAAAACTAGCCTAGATCGCCATCTGCTGTTAAAACCAACAAGCCTAGAGCACCATCTGCTGTAAAAAACAAGACTAGAGTGCTTTCTGCAGTTAAAAACTAGTCTAGATCGCCATCTGCTGTTAAAAACAAGCCTATAGAGCACTATCTGCTATAAAAAACAAGACTAGAGCGCTTTCTGCAGTTAAAACTAGCCTAGATCGCCATCTGCTGTTTAAACCAACAAGCCTAGAGCACCATCTGCTGTAAAAAACAAGACTAGAGTGCTTTCTGCAGTTAAAAACTAGCCTAGATCGCCATCTGCTGTTGAAAACAAGCCTATAGAGCACCATCTGCTATAAAAAACAAGACTAGAGCGCTTTCTGCAGTTAAAAACTAGCCTAGAGCGCCATCTGCTGTTAAAAACAAGCCTAGAGCGCCATCTGCTGTTAAAAACAAGCCTAGAGCGCCATCTGCTATTAAGTAAATCTAGCTTAGCATCTTTTATTAAAATCTAGCATAGTGCCATCTGCTGTTAAAAACAAGCCTAGAGGGCCATCTGCTGTTAAAAACAAGCCTAGAGCTCCATCTGCTGTTACAAACTATTGTCGAGCGCCACCTGCTGTTTAAAAACTAACATAGAGCGCGCTCTACTGTTAAAAAAGTAAGCTCAGAATTGATTAAAGAATATAATTTTTTTTTTAAATCTCATAATCGATTCAGAATCAATTTCTTTGATAATTTTTCAACCGCTGCAGAAACGCTTGTATTGTTTGTCTGGAATAAATATAAACTCGAATCCTCTAAAGTCGAAACATACCAAAAAGCTCTAAAATCTTTATACTTAATTTACATTCACACACTCCTTCCATTTCATCAACCACTGCTTTTAATTTGGATTTTAAGGAGAACAACACATTTTTCACAATTGTTCAAAAGCGTCGACTCACTGCATTGCTGTTCCAACCAAGAACGCTTAACATCCCATAAATACAAGGTAGATGATGAGATTATACAGACAGATGCTGGTCTGCGTTTCATCAGCCTTATGATGGGACTGCATGGAGCAATTATTGTCTTATGAGAGCCCTGTTTCAAAGACAGCAAGACTAAATCATTATCCTTAGCAAAAACAACTGAAGTCAGGGAGAAAACGCGAGGGAAAAAACAAGTTTGAGAGGGAAAAAAAGCCCACCACGGCTGACAAGGGAACTTTTCTAGCACTATTAGTATTCATTTTATTATTTTTTTTTCACTTTCAAAGAGTCATTCGAGAAACAATGGCGCTCTGTTATTTTGGGGGGTATATCTGACGCTAATTGGCAATGGGACTATTGGCTAGTCTCCCACTTTCAAAATAATTAGTAAAGCACACAGCACGATCTCACACCCGGAATTAAACCGACGACATTGGAACCCTTAGCAACTGCTCTGCCTAGTAACGTATGAGCGGAAAGAGAGAGAAAATGAAGCATTTTGATGTACTATAGTGAGACGGAGCTGAACTTCAGCTGTGGAAAGATTTAATGTTATTAGCAGCCTATTAAATCAGTCTCTTTATGCATGCAGCGAACACTTTATCACTTATAATGGAATGAATTTACACTTTATGAGAATATATTTCCTCAAGTTTTTGGTGCACTAAAAACCATCATAGTTTCAGCGCTCTCTCTTTTCTCTAAGCATTGATTTTGGATGCATGATCTGGATCTAATGGCAGGAGTGATTCGGTCTGATTGTAATACGATTCTTGATCTACATTTTTTACTATTATTTTAGCTGTGAAAATATATCTTTCCAACTAGAGATCTGTCACTTTGATCTAATGGCCCATTTCCACTGACTGGTACAGTACGGTATGGGTCAGCACGGGTCACGTTTATCAGGCTTGCCTTTCCACTACCAAGGGTACACTTTTGGTGGGCGTGGTGAACGACAGAAAGTTTCAGATGACGTCTTTCTCACTCGAATAAATGTCTACAGTAAAGCCGTAAAGATCGTTTAAATATCATATTAGAAGGAATTCTCACAAAACAGATGCTTTATGCACAAATGCTTGTGTAAAAATACGTGTAATAAAAAATTTAATAAAAAAAACATTATTCAGTTTTCACCTTAAGAAAAAAGGGATTTTTTTTTCTTGTTTTATGGACATTATCTGCCAGTGGGGTAAGAGAAATAATCTTGTTTTTGCTTTGAAATGGAGCTATTTGCACTACAAGCAAGACAAAAAATCTAAGAAAGAAAGTTTTTTTTTTTTTTGCATAAATCATATAAATTTCATATAAATACAGTGATTAAATACAGCGATCTGTCAACTGTAATTCAGACATTGAGCATATCATGTCTAATTTAAATGTAGTATTGATTTGAAAATTTTGAATCATTTGATAACGAATTGTGAGGCATTGATTAATCGATTTTTTGTATTTTGGTATCCAAAGTATGCAAATACTCATTTTCTGTTTTGAAAGAAATGAGCCAATAACTGACCTAAAGTAAAAATAATAACAATAATAATAAATATAAAAAACACAATCAATGCGTTGGGAAAACAAGTAGGAATTAAGTTACCATGTTAGTTTTTACAAATGTAAGTGGATTTAACATAAATCAATTAAGCTGTCCCCACAAATGTTAACAAAGAAATGTCTTTAAAGAAAAAAATGTTTATGTAAAACATGTTACAATCTAATTTGTATATAAAGTCAATTCTAAACTTTTGAACATCAATTTAGAATTACAAGATAATGAATCACGAGCCATTGATGAAATCATTCCCCTCTACACAATGTGGTTCCACACAATCGATTTGTGCGGGGAAAATTTAAAGAAATTAGGTTAACTTATTAAATATGGAGACAAGACATTATTTTGGGGAGGAAAAAAAGAAGAAGAAAAAAACTACAGCTACACTGTAAAAAATGCTGGGTTCCACACAATCGATTTGTGTTGGTAAAACATGAAGCAATCAAGTTGATTTTGATTTGAATATAGTATCTATAATAAACTTTCCAACATCAATTTAGAATCATTAGATAATGAATCATGAGGCATTGATGAATCAGTTTTCGGCCGCCCTATGTATGCAAATACACATTATCTGTTTTGATGGTGGAGATAAGATATTAATTTAAAATAAAGAGAGAAAAATGAGCGAATAGTTGACCTAAAGTACAAAAACAGAGCTACACTGTAAAAACAAATACTGGGTTCCACACATTCAATTTGTGTTAGGAAAACATGAACAAATTAAGGTAACATATTCATTTAATTAACAACTAAGTTGTCTGCATAAAATTGACATGTTACAATCTAATTTGAATATAGAATCAATTCTAAACTTTTGAACATCAATTTAGAATCATTAGATAACGAATCAAGAGGCATTGATAAATAAAATAAAAAACTTCTCGCACCCCTAGTATGCAAATACACAATATCTGTTTTGATGGTGGAGAAAAAAAAGAGAGAAAAACTTGCTAATAGTTGACCTAAAATAAAAAATAAATAAATAAATAAAAGAAAACAGAGCTACACTGTAAAAAATGGTTTGGTTCCACACAAACAATTTGTGTTGGGTAAACAAGAAAGAATTAAGATAATGTATTATTTTTTTTTTACAAATTTATGTGGATTGAACATAAAACAATTAAGTTGTCCCTACAAACAAACTCAACAATTGTGTTGTTTCCGCTTAGAACAAACAGCAAATTTCATTTTTAATGTACACTGTAAAAAATGTTGGGTTCTACACAATTCCTTCATGTTGTCCCAACACAAATCAATTAAGGTAAATTAATTGTTGTAACAAAATTAAGTGGATTGAACATAAAACATTTAAGTTGTCCCAAAAAAAAAAAACCCTCAGGAATTGTGTTGCTTCAGCTCATTTTAATTAAGTAGTTTGAACAGGAAGAAGAAAATCATTGTTTGAGTCCATAAATTGAGAGCGGATTGCAGCTCAGATAATTTTTTACACTGGAAGAATTTCTTAAGAAGCATTTGGGTTCACTCGGAGATGTCTGACTTTTGATTGCAGATCTTGTTATCTTGGAAAATCTGGAGATTTCGTGTAACCAACACCAGACTTGGCTCTCTGACATAACGTTAAATCAGCCAGCGCTGACAGAACAGAGACAGATCTCCGTGAAAAAGCACAAAAAGTTGTAAACATTGAGTCACTCTCAGTCTAATTTAACTAGATTCTGAAGAACATGAAAGAGAAAGCTCAATAAAATCATGACAGATTTCATGTAGAGAGAGCGCAACAAAACGTCAACTCTGAAAAGCGCAAAAATAAACACTAATTCAAACTGTTCTTGCCTTCTCCACAGGACTTCTGGCCCAGCGTCATGAACAAGATGAAGAACTTTAAGAGGCGTTTCTCACTTTCTGTGCCACGAACAGAGACGATAGAGGAAAACGAGTTTACAGAGCAGATAAACCAGCTCAACATCCGCTGCAATGATGGTAAGCTTTTCCACATTCACATTTAAAGGCCATACATGATAAATGTACGATATAATTACACATTACATTACATCTTAATTTTTAAAAGTGAACAATTCATTTCATTTTTGGGTGAACTAACCCTTTAAAATGTTTATCTATGGCTCAACTGTGAAATCAACTCTCCTTAGTTCTTCCTGACGTCTTTATTTTTAATAGTGAACTTAATTTCTTCCATTTTTGGGTGAACTAACCCTTTTTCTATGGCTCAACTGTGAAATCAACTCTTCTTAGTTCTTCCCAACATCTTTATTTTAATAGCAAACTTAATTTCTTAATTTTTGGGGGGTGAACTAACGCTTTAAAATGTTTGTCTATGGCTCAACTGTGAAATCAACTCTTCTTGGTTCCTCCCAACATCTTTATTTTTAATAGTAAACCTAATTTCTTCCATTTTTGGGTGAGCTAACCCTTTTTCTATAGTTCAACTGTGAAATTAACTCTTCTTAGTTGTTCCAAACATCTTTATTTTTAATAGTAAACTTAATCTCTTTTATTTTTGTGTGAACTAACCCTTTAAAATGTTTTTCTATGGATAAGCTGTGAAATCAACTCTTCTTAGTTCTTCCCAACATCATTATTTTTAATAGACAACTTAATCTCTTTTTTTTTGGGTGAACTACAGTATCTCTTTAAAATGTTCGTCTATGGCTCAACTTTGAAAGCAACTCTTCTTAGTTCTTCCCAACACCTTTATTTAAACTAAATTTCTTTATTTTTTGGGTGAACTAACCCTTTAAAATGTCCGTCTATGACTCAACTGTGAAAACAACTCTTCTTAGTTCTTCCCAACATCTTTATTTTTAGTAGTAAACTCAATTTCTTTCATTTTTGGGTGAACTATCCCTTTAAAATGTATTTCTACAGCTCCACTGTGACAAATCAAACTCTGTATTATTTAACAGTCATTATTATTTGTAGAAAATTGTCTAAACTCCCAATAATAATTGTATATGGTTCAATGAGAAATATAGGAGAAGGGTAAATAATGCACCATAATTACAGATTCAGGTCCAATTCAGACCAGATTCAATTTCTCTGAGGACGTTTGAGTTAAAAACACAGACATGTTGTATTAGACTGGATTAAAGTTTAAATAAATAAAAGTACTAACTGTGTGCAGCAAACATGTACCTGACCTCCTGGGGGAAAACCAGTCTCATCCAAACAGGGCTTTAGTCTAATCCTGCAATATGAACTGTTTGTTTTTAATTAATTTCATGCATAATCAAGAATTTATTATAACAGAAGACATTTACGTCTAATTTGGGCATCTATAATGAAAACTAAAAGTGACTTCTGATCAGGGTTCTGCAGTCTTTTTAATTTAATCCAGAAAACTGTAAAGGGTCGGCCTTGACTTACTGGAGTTTAATTGGATGATATAAAAGTAGACTATTATTGGTTAATTACATTTACATTGGTTTAATTACATTTCCTGCACAGGCTTAATGGAAAAATATTCCAAGTATTTACCAACATTTAGCAAAACTCCAAAATTGTAAGTAAACAATATGTATGCAGTTTGCAGCTGAAATGAGCACTAGAATACATTTATAATGTCACAAATAAGCAAAGCCGATATATTAAACTTTAAAGAGCCCCTATTATACATTAAAAGGGTCATATTTTGGTTTTGAGGGTCTCCAACAACAGGCTGATATGCGTGCAAGGTCAAAAAACACTTTAATTCTCTTAACTGTCGCATTTTGTGACGCGGGAGTCTGTGGTCCTTAAAGGTAATCAAAAATCACTGACTAAATGTGGACTCTTGACCACAGTAAAGTCTTAATCATATTAAATTCAGAGTATTAATGTCCATGTAAACATACTACGTAAAAGTGCCAGATGATGTCGCAAGCTGTCAAGGACAGTGCATTCCTCTGCTTTTGATGTCGCCTTTTTATTTTTACAAACTAGCTAGTCAATTGAAATAGTAATATAGTAATAGTAAATAGTGAACTAGCTATTACTGATTTCATTCATTCATTTTCCTTCGGCCACAGCGGAATGAACCGGCAACTATTCTGGCAAATGTTTTACACCGCAGATACCCTTTCAGCAGCAACCCAATACTGGAAAACACCCATACACTTTTACATTTAGGCACACACACATACACTACAGCCAATTAGGCTTTTTCAATTCACCAGTAGCGCATGTCTTTGGACTGTGGGGGAAACCGAAGCACCCAGAGGAAACCCAAACAAACACGGGGAGAACATGCAAACTCCACTTCGTGCTGTAAGGTGATAGTGCTAACCACTGAGCCACAGTGCCGCCACTATTACTGATTTTATTTCTCCAAAGCCATACTGCATTGGCAAGGTCACAAGTACAAAAACACTGAATCAGGCTACAGTCAAACAGTACTAGAGTTTGATTAAAGATCCTCTTAAAAAGACTACTTTGCATCTCTAAAGGACATTCAAAACCTATTTACATCCATAACAGGAGACGTATGAGATGTACAGTTTTTAAGTGAAACAGGAAATTCATCAGGACAAAGTGTTGGGAGGGGACTTCATCTCGACTTGATTTTGTCCAATGGTAATCAGTTAGACTGATTGCACATGAATAGTGCATATTAAAAACCAAAAGCATTCATTAAGAAAATAAATTCACCCAATGCCAACCGAGGCTACTTCGTCTCATCTTGAAGCCCACTGGACTGGTCTAGAAAGAAATGGGATCTCACAGAGAGCGAACAGTCTCTTAAGAATCTTTCCGAGAGACGAATCCAGCGGCCTGTAAAGACCTGCGGGGGTCAGAGAAGATGGGGAGGAAACAGGATTCTGACCCTCCACCGTCTTCACTTTTTTTTTTTGCTCACAAATTGCAGTGCTGGTTATCTTTGCACTTACATTATTAATGCAGTGGTAATAGTACAATTCAGCTCCGCCGTCTGGCTCTGATTCTTAACGCTTTCTGGAGTCAATATTAAATCGAATTTCAAGGGAGAGACTACAAGCTAGACCACTTTAAGAATTTAAGACTCTGTCAAAGATCTGCAGGGGTTTTCGCACACCCGTGGTTTTGCAATATAAATCGATGGTGCTTGTTATAGGCCAGAATTTATCTTGTTTTAACTCTAAAGAAAGAGTCTTTGTTAAATAATAGGAATTCCAATCAAGCTCATGTGAACTACAATCCACCATATTATGGCAATTGGGAGCCAAAAAAAAGCAAGCGAGCAAAAACAACTCATCGTTTTATTCCTTCGTTTGATTCATCTAGGTATATATGAACACTGAAATTGCTCTTGGATTGACACCAAAACAATTGGACTTGGTGGAATTGGTTTGGTTTTTGATGCTGGTGCAATTTTGACAGCAAACACTCGTTCTGCATCTAGTGCAAAGAAAACCTAAGTCACTGGAAAAAGTATCCAAGCATCATTTCTTTAGTAATATACAGCTGAAGTCAGAATTGTTAGTCCTCATGAATTATTAGCCCCCCTGTATATTTTTTTTCCCAATTTCTGATTAACAGAAAGAAGATTCAACACATTTCAGAACATAATAGTTTTAATAACTCATTTCTAATAATTGACCTTATTTTTGCCATAATGACAGTACATAATATTTTACTATATATTTTTCAAGATACTCAGGCCCGTAGCTTATTAAAAGTGTTGGTTCTTGTAAGGGTGGTTTTTGTAGTTATTCACCTTAAAATATGAGATTTAAATAATGCATTATAGTGACATTTTAAGCACTGATTTATCCTGAATTTGTTTGTCGGATGGTTAACATTACCACACTTTTTGATGCAACAAAAATACTTCCTATTTATTTGTCAAAGTGCTTATCATACTGTTTTTTGTTTACAAAAATGTATGTTTCATTACAAATGTGCATTTACACTGTAAGTTCTTATAGTTTTATATATAATATAATGAGATTAGAATTTTAGAAATAAAAAATATATTTTAAATGCTTCAATGCAAAAAAAAAAAAATGCTTTTCTTACTTGGATTTTTTGTCTTGTTTTAAGTGCAAATATCTAAAAGTTCTTAAATCAAGAAGCATTTCCTAGACAAGCAAAACATATTGTCTTGTTTTAAGAAATAATATGCTAAAATGAAGTGAGTTTTTCCCTAAATCAAGCAAAATAATCTGCTAATGGAGTAAGCAAAATAATCTTATAACAAATCGAAAAACAAGATTATTTTGCTTACCCCATTGGCAGATTATTAAGTTTATTATTATTATAATTTTCCAATTTCCATATCTGCAATGCGTTTACATTACATGCGTTACATGTGCATTTTACATTTGAATAGCCAAAATTACAAGTTTCAGTGTTTTAAATGTGATTAATAAAAAAAACGTGATTAATTAGTTCATTTTTAAAAAATTGACAGCAATAATATATATATATATATATATATATATATATATATATATATATATATATATATATATATATATATATATATTCAAAACTGCTTTTACACTGGCCAAATTAAAACAAATCAGCCTTTCTCCAGAAGAATTTTTTTTTTGGGAAATGCTGTAAAAAATCACTTGCTCTGTTAAACATTATTTGGGTAATATTTAAATAAAGAAAAATAAATTATATACTTTAGATTTTACCTTTATATGCTGATCACCATAAACACACAGTAGCTGAGGGGTCGATTTAATCAGTGGTTAAAGCATCAGTGTAATTCATAAATCAAGCCCTATCCTATATTAGTCACTAAATATTTTGTTTTACACCTCTTTTATCCCTACAATTTTCCACCGTCATGTTCAGATTTATGAATTGTAAACACCAGACAGAGGTTTAAACTGCAAATAACTGATGCAATGATACAAACCAGGTGCCTGGCGAAGTAATTTTCCAGATTTGGCTCTGGTTTCCATTCAACCGATGAAAACATTAAACACAGAGAGATGTTCTCCCACTAGACAATAGAAAATTGTCTGAATCAAAAATGAACTAAACCTACAAAT